GCATTGCCATTCAAATGGTGTGTGTGAACCACATCATGAGATCGATTATGGGGCTTACCTCCCCCCCCCCCATATTTTATTCAAGTTGCAACTCCTGATACCATAGTGTTAAAACAAGAGGCCATTTAGCACAGTGGGTCTGGGATGCCACACCACCACGAAAGGATTGCAAGTGTGGCTGGAAGATTCAAGGACAAAGACAATCAAAGGAACATTTAAACATTTCCGTGTAGTATAGTACAGACATATTGTGAAGAGAGATTTTCAACTCTGAAAAATATGAACGATCAGAAAAGGGAAAGGCTTCTTTGTGTTGATGAGGAGATGAGAATTTGTTTGTCTCAAATTAGACCTAATATAAAAGAGATTACCCAGCAAAAGCAAGGTCACATTGAGTTTGTATAAATATTTAAGGTACATATGTAAGAGGCTTGTTTATAATTATATTTTGAGAATGATTCATGTTCTCAAGTGGTTGTTTTATGCTTTTTGGATGTCCCACGATCATATTATAAAGTAGCTGTGTTCTAAATCAAGCACTGCTAGGAGTTGTTTATTTTTGTTTTCCAATGTATTTCTTAAGGGAGGGAAATCGGTGTGGTGTGAGCAAATTTTTCTCCTGAAAGTGTGGCACAGAAAAAGAAGTTTGAGAACCACACTTCTAGCACAACTCTCAAGGATAATTAATTGCCGCTCTGGCTTTGCATCCCCGCACTGATCGACCGGCAGTAAGAGGTCACAGCAGAAAGGTTATCGGCACACTCCTTTTTTGTTGGCAGCTTAAATAAATTTCACATGTAAGACCTTAAGAAAATGCTTGACTCTTTAAAGGTTAGGTTTCATCCCTCGTTTTATATTTTAATATACCATCTCTGTCCATGTATGCTTGTATTTGCTGGTAAGTACTGCAAATGAAGTCCAACCTGTGGGAAGAATGCCTAAGGACAAATTGCAGGCACAGGAAGACTGATCAGGATCAGGATCATATAGCAAGGAGAAAGGGGCCCCTATGATAGCTGTTTCTGAAAGATATACAACATATTTAAGGGCAAATGGTGTGGTTAACAGCCCAAGATATTTGGCTGGCTAAGGTGAAGGACAGGTGTAGGGAACCTTTGGGTCTCCAGATATTACTGAACTATAGCTCTTCTCAGCCCTAGCAAGTATGACCAGGGATGGTGGGAGCTATAGCTCAACAACATCTGGAGGGCCAAACAACTGGCGAAGGACAAGATGGTGCCTGTTAAGTTGTGGGTTAAACTATCAGACGACACAGCGATTCTTCAGACAGCTCTTGTTTATTCACAGACTAGAACAGAACTGGGCTGAAGGGTTCAGCCAACCTGCTTATATAGAGCTCAACTACAAAGCAACAGGAACAACTTTCTGTAACTATCCAATCACTGAAAGTCACTTTCAATTCCTTATTTGCATATGCAGACCTGAGTGAAAACTATCTACACTATCCCCCTGCTGGCTCAGGGTGAGAACTTCAGTACATAACAGTGTCCCTCCCCATTTCACATACAGAAGACAACTAGACTGGCAGATGAATCATAATTCAACATTGGTGTTGGTGAATCAGGTGGCTCCCTCAATTTGCCTATTGGTAGTGCTGGCCCTAGTCAATATCATAGGTTGGCCATCAGAGCTTTGTTGGAAGGCTAAGCTATTAGACAGGAAGCAACATTTTTTTAAATCATGAACCAAAGAGCATGCCCGTCTTCATCAACAGTCCCTTGTAGTGTTCAATGCCCTTGTGGTGTCCCTGCAGGGCAAGACTAAACATGACTCTCAGCAAGAGATCTGCTTAGTCACACAATATCCTATTAGCTTTGTCTTCCTGTAGTCATAAGGAATCAAAACTGTTTTTCCTTATCCTTCACACAGTATTTCAACTATTTCTTCAGATATAAAAATAGTTACTGCCTGGCTATATTTCCTTACGGCCACCTAGCCAGTAAGCAAATATTTTCATGCCATTTTCAGATTTAGCAGGAACAGATACTGCAAAATAATGATGATGATGATGATGCAGGGCTTCCACACCAACCCTGAAGTTGGCATATATACTTTTTACCAGCAAAAAATGGCAGATTAAACAGGAAATCTCTGTTCTTCAGTAAAGAGGAGCATGGTGCAAATCATGCCTTGCCTTGTCTAAGCACATGTACTTGGAAGTAAGTCCTGTTGATCTCAGAGGAATGTGTACTTTCAAGTAAGCATGCTGAGTAACATGGTCACTCTGAAAAGGCAAAATACAACTTCTCTAGCATGTGCTCTAAATGCAAATGGTTGTGTGTGAGCATGTGTAGCTGTCCCCAGAGCTTTAGCATAATTGCCCTGATAACTCTCCTTTGGAAGAGATTTGGATGTTCACAAGAAGCAGGAATGTCAGGATGTAAGTGCAAAGCTTCAGTACAGGTGCACTTTAGAGATACTGAATGAAGTTACACACAAGGACCAATTTCCAGAGGGAACAAAATATTCTTTTAACGTGGTATGTCTTCCTAATGGTAAGAGCTGCCCAACAATGGAAGTAATTGCCTTGGGAGGCTCTCTTTGGAGTGACATTTAACCAAAGATTGGACAGCCATCTGCAAGGGATGATGCAGATGCATCTGGCATTGCAGATCCAGCACGTTGCAGGCAGTTGGATTAGATGACTTTCAAGTTCCTTCCAACTTTATAATTCCATGATTTTATGGAATTGTAGCCTCGCAGTTTACATTTGCTATCCTTTATTAATCAGCTACGCCAGGTAGAAAGTTGTACACTGATGGCACCATAGAAATACTTCCAAGTAAATTATCAGGCTGCAGATCATGCTTATCTCCATCAAAATAGGGGTGTGAGCAAGTCCTGAGTACTCATTTATGTAATATTGGTAGAGTTTAGTTTCTTGACTAAACTAGTCTGAGGCCATTCTGACAAAGGCACAAATCCTCCTACTTACATAACATTTGTGGCAGAGGCATAATATTTCTTGGGTTACAACGGAGCGAAGCTGGAGTGATCTTTATTAACTACTGTGGCAATGCAGCCAATCAATAGGTTTGTGCAGTGCTTTTTTCTGGGGGGGACGCAGGGGTACGCATACCCCTAAACATTTTGTGAATCTAAGTTTGGCCTCATTGAGGGGCAGTATTTCAATAAGAGTAGGAAAGTGAGAGTACCCCTAAACATTTTTTTAGGGGGAGGAAGCACTGGGTTGGTGAAAATCCATCCTGAATTTGTCCTCTGCTTGCAATGTATCAACTTTATGAAATTTAGTTATGCAGAGCCCTCTGCTGGCTTATTTTTTTCTCCTCCTACATTTTTGAAAGCAGTTTGTAGTATTGCAAGTACAGAGAGTTTAGATCAGGGGTCAGCAAACTTTTTCAGCAGGGGGCTGGTCCGGTGTCCCTCAGACCTTGTGGGGGGGTCGGACTATATTTTGAAAAAATAATAATGAACCAATTCCTATGCCCCACAAATAACCCAGAGGTGCATTTTAAATAAAAGGGCACATTCTACTCATGTAAAAACACACTGATTCCCGGACCGTCCGGCAGCCGGATTTAGAAGGTGATTGGGTCGGATCCAACCCCGGGCCTTAGTTTGCCTACCCATGGTTTAAAGCAGACAAAAAAGGCTTGTTTTTCATATATACAAATAATAAAATTACTATTATTATTTTCTCCTTAAATTCCATGGGAGACTGTAAGAAGAACCTAGGAAGACAAGTTGTGGTAAACAAAGTATAAATCTTAAAAAGAAAAATAATGGTTTAATTAAGTAGCAACTAAGAAAACTGGGCAATAGAGAAAACTAATAGGAATTAAATATTATAATGTATGAATCCACATCGGTGTCACAGAAGGCTAAAGGACACACATTTCAGTAAGCTTGACAAATTATTTCTCTCCGGCAAGATCAGGACACCAGGAAGTCCTTACTCGACCGGGAGTATAACTAATTTTAGAGTCCCCTGGTGACTAACATAGCACTAAGGCAAAGATTTCATCAGTGCAAAGACTTCTGCTTGTGCAACTGTTCTCCATCTTTCCTCTCCCCATGCACCTCGCATACCTGCTGTTCTAGGGATTCCTTCAATCCCCTGGATTGGGGGTGGGTGTATGGGTCACGCTCAGGGAAAGGAGGAAAGGATAGTGTTCCCTCTGCTTCTCCTACCCTTAACCTCAAAGCTCTGTCTAACAGAATTCTAAACCTACTTGTATATCTGCAGATAATATCTGCAAATTATTCACCATTTTAATTATCAAGTTTCCCCTAATATAGTTTTGCTCCGAGATGAGGCATTTTATGTAATTAAAACTCTCTCTGTGTGTGTGTGTGTGTGTTTTTCCCCACACCCACCCTGTGGTGGGCACCAATGCAGGAGGGGACCCACCAGAGATCACTTCGCTCCAGGCCCGTGGAAAGCGACTCTGATCTGAGGTTACTCCTGTCTTTGCATCAGAAAAAACTATTGCATGTTCCAATCATATCGCCTTCAACTGTGCTGGCAGCAGCACGCACACATTTTTCTTCAGATCATCAGCAGGACGTTTAATATGAACATGCACTTAACATAAATCCTTTTTTTTTTAACCGAAACAACAGAGCTTTTGCACATAAATCAGCACGCGTCGATCCTTTATTTATCAAAATGTTAATTCCCTTTCTCTTCCCAAACCAACGCCAAGAGCTTTTCCATTGCAACCCCTCTCTTCCAAAACGTTTCCTGTCCCTTCCAAGATCAACTCATTTAAAGCATTTTTCTTTTCTTTTCTAAATATACCCTCTTTGGGGGCACACTGCAACACACACAACCCGTCCTCCACCCCCAGGGAATCAAAACATCTACGACGGCGCCCTTTTTCCCGTTCCCATAGAAACAAGCGGGCGTCCTTTTCCCGGAGTCTTTCTTTTGATAGGCTCCTGCCAATCCTTGGCTCCGCCCCCTATCGGCGTCGCTCTTGCTTCGCGCATGCTTTTTGGTCCTCGCGGGGGCCCGTAGCGAGCCCGCTTCCGCTTCCGCCGCTTCAAGGGTCCGCTCAGTTTCCGGCGGCCGGCTGTGAGTGAGCAGAATGGTGAGTCGGGTTGGGGAGGCCGGTGATTCCGGGGGTTTTCGGTCTGCGGGCCCCGCAGCTGGGCCTCGCCTGGAGAAACCGAGAGGTGGCGAGGAGGAGGAGGAGGGAGAGGTGGACCAGGATCCTGCCGCTTCCGTCTCTCTGCGTGGGCTTCGCAGATTTAATGCGGTGTCATGGCCCGCCCCCTACCCGAGGCGGGGTGGATGGCGTGCGATGGAGACGGGGCGGGGGGGGGACCAGAGAGCAAGGAAGAGCGGGGCTAAAGGCCTCGAGGGCCCATTGCGGCGGCGAAGGTGGTCGCGGAGGAATCCGGGCCCCTTCTGGGAGCTCGCTGTCAAGAGTTAGGTTGTGACGGCCTTGGCGCTCGTCGGTTGTGGTGACGCCTAAAGTGAGACTTATGTGGCCACTAGGCGCATCTGCCAATGTCAGCCTCTGGTGTGGAAAACACACACACAAACACCTGCCCGACTATCTGTACAATACAGCGGTACCTCGGGTTACATACGCTTCAGGTTACAGACTCCGCTAACCCAGAAATAGTACCTCGGGTTAAGAACTTTGCTTCAGGATGAGAACAGAAATCATGTGGCGACAGCAGGAGGCCCCATTAGCTAAAGTGGTGCTTCAGGTAGAACAGTTCAGGTTAAGAACGGACCTCCGGAACGAATTAAGTACGTAACCAGAGGTAGCACTGTAGTGCACAGACTTTTGTGCCCCAGAGTGGCTAGGTCAATCCTGTCAGATGGGAGGGTACAAACAATGAAATAATATTGTTTTTGTTTGTGTAACTCATGTGCCTTATGCACACAAATATACAGTCATACCTCAGGTTACAGACACTTCGGGTTGCGCTATTTCGGGTTGTGCACCGCGCCGAACCTGGAAGTACCGGAATGGGTTACGGCTGGGTTTCGGTGCATGCACAGAAGCTCCGAATAACGATCCGCGTGTGTGCAGACACAGCGCTGCTGGTTGCGGACGCTGCGGGTTGCAGATGTGCTTCCCGCACGTATCACGTTCGCAACCCGAGCATCCACTGTATTCATGCCTCACATGTATAGGTCTCTGTGTGTGAATCGCAGCTCACACGTACAGGTCTCTGTGTGTGAATTGTTTGTTTACGGAGGTTTTTGTGTCCTGTTTACCCCAGTAAAGCTGTGATTCCAAGAGACTGTTGAGTCAAAGGGTAAAACTCTTTAACCACTTGGCAGATCTAAAAAATAAAATAAAAAATGCAGCAGTAGCTTTTAACTTATAAAAGCCCACAAAGCTTCTCATTGGCAGGTTGGTTGTACAGGGCAGTCGCATTGCTTTTATCATAAGCTGCCCTAGTTGTAGTGAAAGCCCATTTACTTAGTTATGTAGTGGAGTGATTTGAATTGAGGACATCCTGCTTTTGGCCCTTAGTGCAGTTGTATACATGCTTACCTGGAAGCAACCCCACCGAACATTATAAAGCTTCCAAGTAAACATTCGTAGGATTGGACTGCACATCACTATGCTAGTGTGATTAGCTCTCCAAACACAAATGAGAATTTTTTTGTCAGTTTGGTTTTAAACTACTGCTGTTTAAAAGCACTTCACTGTGAAGAATTTTTGTTGAAACTGAAAGTTATATTCCTTTCCAGTGTGGCAGATCGTAGTCTGTACTTCCAGTTTCATTAAGATGCTGGAAGTTTACATCTGTTTTGCACATCTTAAGCTGCAGTCCTAAACATGCATGCTGTATGATCCTAAATATCTCAAAAGTCATTTCTGCTGAATTCATTGAGACTTGCTCTCTCAAATGTGCGGATAGGATCACAACCTTACTTGGGTGGTAGAATGGGACTTGGTTCATGGTGTAAATATTTGAATATCAATATGTTTAGTACAGGTTCCCCCCCCCAACTTATGTTCCGGGCCCCTGTGTACATGCGGGTTATGTTCCGGGGCCCTGTGTACATAAATGAAATCATGTAATGTGGTGAGAACCCCCATTGTAATAGGGAGAGTGTGCAGAGAGGAGAGAGACAGATTCACCCTGGAAATTGCTCGGGCCACTACCTGGACTGCCTGCCTGAGGGGAGCTAGTGTGTGCAGCTGCAGCAGCTGGCCATGGAGGGCATGGGTTGAGAATGGCGCCCAGCAGAACTGGTGCCAGGATGGCGGAGGCAAGGAGAAAGTGCCTCCTGCGCCACTGGTCGAGGGAAGGGCAATTTATTTGTTTATGATGCGGCGACTCGCGTAAATGCGATTCTGCGTGAGTGGGATGTGTGTAAGGGGGGGGAGGGGAGATTCCTGTATATTTCAAGCATGTGAAGTAGACTGACTTTTAGTATGCCACTTGATCTTCTGTCTGTTCCCATTATTAGGGTCAAAGTCAGAGTGGTGGACATGGTCCTGGAGGTGGCAAGAAGGATGACAAAGTAAGAAAATGTAAAAATGTTTTTATCAGCTGTAATTCCTTGAGAAATGCAGCAATACAATTTTGTTTGGAAAATCTGTTCTGTGCTAATTGGGCAGCATTTCCTCGGGTGTATCATTGTGTAATTGAATTTGTACTTAATCATAAAACATTATCAGTCACCATTGTGTTACATTGACACACAGGAAAATACTGAATTTAATAATCTAGAATCCGTTAGTACTACCGTGATTATCAAGAGTTTGTAATCAGAAACTTTTAAACACACGTTTTTCACCAACATAAACTTCCTCTGTCCTTTCCATAGCAGCATTTAAGTAATCTTACCAACCGCATAACTAATACATCTCATTTTGTGCCTTCTGTTGTTTGGAGCCAACTCAGTAGCAGTCCTCTTGGACAAATTGTGAGCATTGTATGCACTGATTTGTTTCGGAGGCACACTATGTTTCTCCAGCCATCTTGATTTCTAAGGCCATACATAGTAAGATGTGAAGCATTAGCTCCAGTTGCCAAGAATCACAGCAGCATGGAGGAGGATGTGTTATCTCAGCCTGTTTGCTGGACTTGAAATTGTATATAGTGGACCTTTGGAGGTCACTTAGGACACAGTCAGGAACCTGTGGTTGTAGTTTATTGATCAGAGAGCTCTGTATTAATAACTTGCTTCCCCGATTTTTGGTAAGAGTTGCGGGTTGGAGTTGATTCAGTGTTTCTCCTTGTACTGGTCTAGGCCAGGGGTCGGAAACCTGTGGCACTCCAACTCTCATCAGCCCTGTCCAGCATGAATAGTGGGCAAAGATTTTGAAAGCAGCAGTAGTTCAACAATATCTGAAGGACCATGGGTCTCCATCCCTGGTCAGCAATCATATTTCTTCACACTGCAGTGCTAACTCTTGCACAGGTTTCATTGGGGTCAATTCTTTCATCATTCTGACTCTTTCTACCTGATTCTTGAAATAAAAAAGGATAAGAAGAAGAAATATGAGCCTCCAGTTCCAACTCGCGTGGGGAAAAAGAAGAAGAAGACAAAGGGACCAGATGCTGCCAGCAAACTTCCACTGGGTAAGCACAGCTGGTTTGTGCACATTTTAGGACAGGACCATCACAGAGTATGTGTTACATATAGAAGAGCCCCAGTTCAGGCTTGGGCCCCTGTGCTTATAAAGCTCAGATAGCAAGGCCGGAAGAGGCCTCTTTGTTTGAAACTTCAGAGAGCTATTGTCAAGCCGAGCGAAAGCTAGATGGATCAACGGTTTGATTTGGCATGAGGCAACCATTTATATTTGTAACATCTGCTTACTACTGTGTCATGGAATCCAGAACTTTGAGCCTGTAGGTGTCTAGTCATTTTCAACTTTTAGAATTTATTTTATAATCTGATTACTGTGCAAATACTGGAAGCACAGAGCAGATTTTAGCCATATTAAAACAACCTTTAAAATACACCTACCTTGACTCTGAGGTCATTTTCAGAGGCCTTTCTCTGAGTGTGATCACCAAATGAGGTGTGGTGGTGGGTGATTACTGGAGAGGGGGCATTTTCAGTGGTACTGTACTGGTTGTGGAATTCCCTCTCCAGAGAGGCTTCCCTGGCACCCTGTGTTATAATCCTTTTCCTTTGAAATTAAATCTTTTAGGCTGCAGTCCTAAATTCAAATTCAGTAGGACTTCTGAGTTAGACAGAGTTAGAGTTGTGCTCTTAGTGCTTTTTAATGCTCTTTTATATGAGTTGCTGCCTCTGGTTTTATTTCTTCTAATTTTATTGTTATTATTTCTTTTTAAAATCTCTTATGGGATTTGTGTGAGAACATTAAGATGTTGGGCAATATACTAACATAAGTAAATAATGAACACATTTATCCCTCATAAATAAATAAATAAATAAATAAATAAATAAATAAAGGCTCCTCTATAATGTCATATAACCTCTCCACACAAGAGTTTTGACATGAAATCTTCCTTCTCACTGCAGTTCAGAATAAGATAGCTCCCCCTACATTCACAGGAAAGTAGTAGCTAAGGGTAGAAAGCAGCAAACCCAAGGCAAATTTTAAGAGCTTAAAAATCCCATTTAGTTGGCAATCCCAAAGAATGAAGATACCAGTGTTCTCCCCAGAGCTTCACTCACAAAATTTGAATAATTTTATTCTTTGCCTTTTTCTTTATAGTAACCCCTCACACCCAGTGCAGACTCAAACTGTTGAAATTGGAAAGAATAAAAGATTACCTTTTGATGGAGGAAGAATTCATCAGGAACCAGGAACAGATGAAACCTTTGGAAGAAAAGCAAGAGGTATATGTTGAGAGGCAAATATTCTCTCTGCTTATCCATCTCCAGTTATTAACTTGCTCCAGTCTGTATCTCAAGCCATTTGTTTGTATACTTTCCACCTTCTGCCTCTTCTATTCATTTAGTGAAACAGGCGTTGCCTGAGGAAATCTCATTCCACAATAAATTGTTCAGAATCGTGAATGACCTTGCCATGTTTCTGAAACTGTGCTTATTATATAGAGAACAAAATGGACGTGGGTTATTTCTGCACTTTGAAAATCCACTGTAGTCCAGCAACGTTAGGAGGGCCACAGTTTTCCCCTGTCCTGTTGGCTCAAGCTATGCTATGAAGCAGAATAATCATTTTTCTGTTTGAACCATAAGAGAATAAGCCCTATAGGTGTTCTCAGGTAGTGCGTTAAAGAAACTACATTGCAGGTTTAGTATACCATAGTAGCTATTGGTCTGGCAAATAAAGATAAAGAAAGAGAGGAAGGAAGGAAGGAAGGAAGGAAGGAAGGAAGGAAGGAAGGAAGGAAGGAAGGAAAATCCAATACATCACATTTTTAGCTTGCTCTTCTATTTATAAGGTTCACAAACAAAGCTATTTAAAATGACATTCAAGGTTCTCAATACAATATAGATGTATATTGAGAAGGATGCTCAGGACTCACCTGCTCTAGGTAAAGATAGGGTGGCATAAAACAAGCTTGATTACTTAGGACTTTAAGAAGCACAAACTTAAGCAGAACCTATTGTCAATTTTACATTCTTGCTATCTTGGCTATTTGCAGACTTTCTGCTCTAACATAATGGAATTATCTTGGGGCCCTTGTTTGCAGGTAGGGACTGCCACCAAATGGGGCCCTATCAGTCCTTTCTCTACTGTAGACATAGAAGGTTGGCAGGGTGGTGGTCAATCCATGCATACTTACATTTTATTTTTGTTTGCAGGAAGAGAGATCAAAGGTGGATGATCTGAGAGGGACCCCGATGTCTGTAGGGACACTGGAGGAGATTATTGATGATAATCATGCTATCGTGTCTACGTCGGTGGGATCAGAGCACTATGTCAGCATTCTCTCCTTTGTAGACAAGGATTTGCTGGAGCCAGGGTGTTCAGTTCTGCTTAATCATAAGGTAATTATTGTAATATTTAAAGATGAGTAGCCTGCCTCTGAAAGTGCATAACATTTATTAATATTTATTTATCTTAAAAAATTGTGCCCCACACTGAAGCTCAAAAATCTCCCAGAGCTGCCAGGAGCAAGTAAGACAATCCTCGCGTGCCAGTTTTCAATCTAAAATACATGGCACAAAAGGAAAAAAGGTTGAGGAGGAAGAAGAAAACAAACTTGGGCACCAATATTTAAAATGGAATAGAAACAGTTCAGAGAGAAAAGGAACCAAATGGACCTAGTTCTCAGCCCAGCCTGCTTCTTGCCTTTCCCTCTGCTGCAGTCTTGAGTTTGCACCATGCATATTTTGACTACCTGCTGTAGTCTGGGCATGACAAATTTGAAAAGGATTCAAACTTAGTGGAGAACTCGGAGGAGGGCAACAGAGATAGTAAACAGCCCTGTGTAGCGAGAGCTGATCACATGAGGTCAACTAGTTATGAGACACTAGATTCCTATTGATTTGAACAGCGCCAGGTTGTTGCTTCTTTGGATTAGAATGGAAAGGTATGAAGAAAAGCAAAAAGAAAAGAAAAGTGCCTCTTTTGATCAGCTGTGAAATCATTTTCATGAGAGGATAATTACTTGTCATCTGCCCTGTCACTTCCCTTGGACAGCTTAGTCAATGCAAAGTGGCAGACAACACCAGTTTCTTTTAATTTTTGTTGCTGGTGTTGCAGCATGGTATAATGATGTAGCCTGAGCCATGCTTAATTGGATATGTAGCAAACTTGCCCTGTTGACTGATAGAGCTGCAGCAGTTTGGCTGAAATTCAGTTGACATTTTCATTGAAGTTACTGCTGGAATGCTATACAGCATTACTTAGGACTTTAAGAAGCACAAACTTAAGCAGAACCTATTGTCTCGCAAGACGGAAAACCCGCTAGACGAAAGGGTTTTCCGTTTGCGATGCGCTTCGCAAGACGAATTTCCCTATGGGCTTGCTTCGCAAGACGAAAACGTCTTGCGAGTCTCGCCATTCCCCCCCGCTTCCCCCCCCCTTTTTCAAAGGCGCTAAGCCACTAATAGCCTTTTAGCAGCTTAGCCGCTAATCCTTTAATAGCCGCTAAGCTGCTAAATCACTAATAGCGCTAATCCTCTTAGCCGCTAATGGGGTTGCTTCACAAGACAAAAAAACCGCTAGACGAAGAGAATCGCGGAACGGATTCTTTTCGTCTTGCGAGGCACCACTGTAATTGTACCTGTGTGTATCTTAGATCACACAATTCATCTTGCATGCATTTGTATTTGTAGACATGTTTAGGGCCCAATGTGCAGCAACCAAAACCTTGACTCAGTAACTTGTGTTACTTGTGTTTGCTGTTGACTCTTCCGAGCGAGTCAGAGAACTTTATTGCTTGTGTGCTACTAATGTACAGTGGTGCCTCGCAAGACGAAAAGAATCCGTTCCGCGATTCTCTTCGTCTAGCGGTTTTTTCGTCTTGCGAAGCAAGCCCATTGACAGCTTAGCGGATTAGCGCTACAGCGGTCTAGCGGCTTTTCGCGTCAGCTGTTAAGCGGGTTATCAGCACAACAGCTGATAGGCGGCTTAGCGGCTTAGGAAAAGGGGGGGGCGAAAAAAACCCGTGGGGACGCACAAGATTTTTTCGTCTTGCGAAGCAACCCCATAGGGAAATTCGTTTTGCGAAGCGCCTCCAAAACGGAAAACCCTTTCGTCTAGCGGGTTTTCCGTCTTGCGAGGCGTTCGTCTTGCGGGGCACCACTGTATTTTGTTGCTGTAACTGGCGGCTGGTGTTTCATTTTTTGTTTTCCCAATATGGCATATGTTTTATTTGATTCCCCTCTTCTTTTTCTATGGTACAGTGTACTTATGCACCCTTTGGGTGACAAGCGACCAATAAGTTTCTTATAAGTAAACAAACAAACTTTGGCTGTGGTGTAGAAATCTGCCAGATAGCACTGTACTTTGGAGCAGGCAGCAGAGGTCGCTGCTGATTTGGGGTGGTTTTGGGCATCCTTTTCTGGCGTTGATTTTGACCAAGAGAGCTGGCCCACAGACCTATGTCAATGACATTTATGCTTTGCCTCCTTGCTAGTAATGGGACAAACACTCAAATAAACCTGTCGTTTCTCTCCAACCCAGACCCAAGTGAATTACATGCAATATTATTTATTGGTGCTACTGCCTGTTTTGATTAGGTCCACGCTGTGATAGGAGTCCTCATGGATGACACAGATCCTTTAGTGACAGTGATGAAGGTGGAGAAAGCCCCTCAAGAGACATATGCAGATATTGGAGGCTTAGATAACCAGATTCAAGAAATTAAGGTATTTATACTTTCAGCACTGATGAAAGAAGGAGCTACAAGAATGTTTGATTACATCACAATTTTAAAAAAAGTAATAAAAGCCGTGTCGGTATTTACTTGATTCTATTGCTCAGCAGCTATTGCTGGAACTTCAATTATATTTTGCTTAGCAGAGAGGCGGTCAGGTAATGGTGCCACATGTCCCTGCTGCTTGAGCGTGTGATTGTAGTGCTGAGGCTCCAGCCCACTACAATTCTCTTCCTTTAGAAATGAAGCAACCTCCTGTTTTTCAGTGTTTGTTGAAAAACCGTCTTTTTCTGTCCCAAGCTTTTCAAAACGAGTCTATTTTATTTCTGCAGTTTTTAATTCTTGTTCATTTTTTAAAAATACTGTTTACAGTTGTACCTTGTTTTGTGGCCGGGATCCGTTCCAGAGCCCCAGCCACTAGCCGAAAAGGATGCAGGGCAAAGCGCCACATCTGCGCACACGTGCGGAGTGGTTTGCACTTCTGCGCATGTGCAAAGTGCAATTTTGTGCTTCTGCGCAAGCGGCAAACCCGGAAGTAACCCGTTCCGGTACTTCCGGGTTTGCTGTGGACTTCACCGGAATGGACGCTAGACAAGGCGGACGTTCGCGGAGGTATTACTGTATATGACCTGTACTATGTTTTGTATTCTGTTCCTGTACACATGAGTATTCTCTGAGTGTAGAGCAGTTTATAAATCCTAAAATAAATAATACTGTAAACTTTTACCTGTTAACATTTACACCAATGTTAAAAGACCTGCACTGGCTTGCTCTTGGCTACTGCACCAGATTCACTGTTCTTGTGCAAAGACCTGAATAGCTGAGGCCCAAGAAACCTCAAGGAGTGCCTTAAGTCCCAAGCTGATCACTGAGATCATCAGAGGGAGCACTATTAGATGCACAGCTCATGCCAGTGAGAAGCTGTGCCTTCAGCATTGTAATAATAATAATAATAATAAATTTTATTTATATCCCGCCCTCCCCAGCCGAAGCCGGGGTCAGGGCGGCTAACAACAATAAAACAGTACAAAAGTACAGCATAAACAACACTCTAAAATCATTCATTATAAAATTAATTAATTCAAGCCACTGGCAACCATTGGGCCAGAGCTCCGCGAAGATTGCCGAGGGAGGGAGTCAGGCTGTGCCCTGGCCAAAGGCCTGGTGGAACAGCTCTGTCTTGCAGGCCCTGCGGAAAGATGTCAAGTCCCGCAGGGCCCTGGTCTCTTGTGTAGGTGCAACTCCATGGAATTTGTAGGTGCAACTCCATGGAATTTGTAGGTGCAACTCCATGGAATATCCTTCCACTAGAAGTCAAGCAGGCACTGTCCCTGCTGCATTTCAGGTGCCTGGTTAAAACTGTTACGAAAAAGGAGCAATGCAGCAGCGAGCTGCAGCTGGCTGGAAAGCCAGACAGGATGTTGATGTTTGGGACTGTACCATGGGAACAAAGGGACAGTCTATTCACTATACTGAGCACCGGATGTTAGCTCAGAGTGTCATCTGACCTGTACTGGAAGTACAGGGGTGGAGTTTCCCTCTCTGCTGTTGGTGTTTAGAGAGTGCAGATGTGTTTCTCTGTACTGCTGCAAAGACAGAAATAAAGGCATGTAAATACATTTCTGTCTGTCTCTTTCCCCTCCCTGGGGGAGGCAGGGAGGAGGGAAGAGTGGTGTGTTCTTCTCACGTTTGAGGAGGATCGCCGATAGAGACCTCGCCTGTATCCTGCCGGGAGTCGCAGACGGGGAGGTCAACAAGGAGCTCAAGCCGGGTGCCTGGAGAGTGGCCAATTCCTCTGACAAGGCTTGAGATTCCAACAAAAACCACCCTATTTCAGGAGGCCTTTGCCTCATGAAAGCTTCTCTGGTGTTTTAATTTATGAGATTTTAAATGTTTGAAATTTAATTTACATTTTAAGTTTTTGTATATTGTAATATTTCATGTTTCTATCATTGTAAGCCACTTTGAGACCCAGATGATGGTGAAAAGCATTCATGTATGGATGTATGGATGTATGGATGTATTACAGCACCTTGCAAAGAAATTGTGCACTTTAATCCTATAAGAGAAATTAGGCTTACAGAGAATTGCCTGGGACTATCCAAGCTGAGTGACGCTTCAAATCTCTGTTTCTCAGGGCTCTTGTTTCTCAGCTTGAAACTCCAGCTCCTTCATCACACTGGAGTCTGTCGGAAACAGTGGCGTTACCGGCATTTGTTGCTTTAAAATACTCAGTTTAACATTCACTTTTGAAAATTCTAATTTTGATTGTTAATTCACTGCCAAGTCTGTGAATTTTTTTTCAGCTATGAAGAGCTAATATACAGATATGTTGTTGCTTCTTCCTATAGGAGTCTGTGGAGCTCCCTTTGACCCATCCTGAATATTATGAAGAGATGGGTATCAAGCCACCCAAAGGAGTCATTCTGTATGGACCACCTGGCACAGGTACTACTCTTCTGTCATTCTGGTTCTATATGTCTCTAAATGTTGACACTCCAGGCTGCACCTCATGATTGGTACACAGCTCATAGATATTCTGCCTGGAGGCTGGAGCAATAAGGTCTTGCTACTATCTCTGGCATTGTTCTTTATAACAGTGTGGTTCTGAAATGTGGGATGTGATAAGCTAATATTTACCCATGAGGTGCTGCTGAAAATGCCATCTTCTGGGGAGGCTAGATTGGCTCCACAAGGCACAGTGCCTTTTCTGCAGTGCTGAAACTCTGGAAAGCTTTTTCTGCAGCAAGCCCAAGGCTGCTACCTCCCTGGCATCTTTGGGGGCAGGTTAAGGTCTTTCACGACTCTTGTGCCTTTGTAAATTGAGTTTATGAAATGTTTTCCCAGCTCTTTGTCTACTTAATTAGTTCTGTTTTTATTTTATATTGTCTTGGGGTTTAAACTGACTTGAATATTTTATGTATTGATTTGGTTTTTTTAATTTTTGGCTGTATACTGCCTTGAATATATTGTTATTTTTTTAGAAAACATCTTCACCAGATATGGCCATGTTTTCCAGATATTCCTTTAAATAGCTTCTCTGCACCAACACTCCAGTCAAGCATATTATTATTATTATTATTATTATTATTATTATTATTATTATTATTATTATATTACTTATACCCCACCCATCTGGCTGGGTTTCTCCAGCCACTCAAGGGAGCTTCCAGCAAAATATAAATATAAAGCATACCTCTCCCCCAGGAAGCATGAGTTCAAGTTGTAGGAACCTTTTTGAAGTACTTCCAAGGCTGTAGCTGAATTGTAAGATTGCCTAACCTCAGAAGTTAATTTCTCATAGACAATATGGGTAGCTTGTGGATAGTTCCAAACTGCATGCATGCATAGCATTGTAATGCAGATTAGTCACTGTGCCTGCAAGCTCTAAATTCAACTGTGTTTTGGAAATCAAACAGGTAAAACATTACTAGCCAAAGCAGTCGCAAACCAAACCTCTGCCACCTTCCTGAGAGTGGTTGGTTCTGAACTCATACAGAAGTACCTGGGAGATGGTCCAAAGCTTGTTCGAGAACTCTTTCGAGTGGCTGAGGAACATGCCCCGTCAATCGTCTTCATTGATGAAATCGATGCTATAGGTACCAAAAGGTATGACATTGTTGTCGCTTTAATGTGGGATGTAACAAATGCAATTCTATGAATTGGTTTCATTTTTTCCTTTCTTTCCAGTCAATCAATGATAGGAGTTGGGACACAGGAGCTATGTTGCATTCTGCGCTCCCCAAAGGTTACTTTTCCTTTTGCTCACATGTGTTTTTGCTTCAGAGCCAACCCTTGTTTCGTGTGAGGGTTCCGTTATGGACCCCTGCATCCATTGGTAGAGCACATGTAAGCCAACTCCGCCCCTGTTCCATACCTTTTCATGACGTCTTTATGATGTTTGGGGGCTCCTTCCAGGTTCGGTGCCGTGTGTGATCGCACGTCAATTCAGCTGTGCCTAAACCGGAAGTTGCCTATAATCCTGATACAGTGGTGCCCCACAAGACGAATGCCTCGCAAGACGAAAAACCCGCCAGACGAAAGGGTTTTCCGTTTTTGAGTTGCTTCGCAAGACGATTTTCCCTATGGGCTTTCTTCGCAAGATGAAAACGTCTTGCGAGTCGTGCGATTTTTTTCGCTCCCCCCCCCCACACTTTTTCTAAGCCGCTAATAGCCTTTTAGCTGCTAAGCCTTTAATAGCCGCTAAACCGCTAATAGCGCTAATCCTCTTAGCCGCTAATGGGGTTGCTTCGCAAGACGAAAAAACTGCTAGATGAAGAGACTCGCGGAACGGATTATTTTCGTCTTGCGAGGCACCACTGTAATCCCATCTTGCATTTTAAAAAAAATTCTACCCCACATTGTAAGAGTAAGTTTGAAGATGCTATGAAGCTAACTTCTGATGTAATATAGGTGCCAAGAGCACTCTCAGACTATACTCTAACTGAGCCATTTGTAAGACCTGTTGTAATAATTACTGGAGGCTAAAGCAGTCACTTGAGTCACTTGAGGGGACGTGGGTGGCGCTGTGGGCAAAACCTCAGCGCCTAGGACTTGCCGATCGCATGGTCGGCGGTTCGAATCCCCGCAGCAGGGTGCGCTCCTGTTGTTCGGTCCCAGCGCCTGCCAACCTAGCAGTTCGAAAGCACCTCTGGGTGCAAGTAGATAAATAGGGACCACTTACCAGCGGGAAGGTAAACGGCGTTCCGTGTGCTGCGCTGGCTCGCCAGATGCAGCTTGTCACGCTGGCCACGTGACCTGGAAGTGTCTGCGGACAGCGCTGGCTCCCGGCCTATAGAGTGAGATGAGCGCACAACCCTAGAGTCTGGCAAGACTGGCCCGTACGGGCAGGGGTACCTTTACCTTTTAAAGCAGTCACTTAAAATTTCAAAGGAAGACCAGACAGAAGTTGCTGAAATGCAGCTGTGTTAAACAACAAATTATGCGCGTGAAATCTGATGGTATTGTAAAAGCACCTGTTCCCCATCTTGAAGGCTTTTTGTGCTATTTCAGCTGAGGGCAGGGGGAATGAGAAGGGGCAGAAAAGACTTGCAACAGCTATGTGGTGCCAAGCAAGCCAAGTAAGCAAAGCTTACCAGCTTTGAGTCCAGCCTCTTACCCATCCAGTGGAATGTGGTATCTCATCTGCTGGGTTTGGAAATTTTAAAAAAGAGGTTGGGGGAGATCTCTGTGTAGCCATTCCTTGTGCCATAACTTATTTGCCTGTGATTGCTCAGTGATTTTATTTAGAGATAAAGGGAAATGTGATCTTCTGTGGAGACTGCTGCATGCAACTAACTTTGATGTTATTCTCTCCTCCAAAGATATGATTCAAATTCGGGGGGCGAAAGGGAAATCCAACGAACAATGCTGGAGCTGCTGAACCAATTAGATGGGTTCGACTCACGTGGAGATGTAAAAGTGATCATGGCCACTAACAGAATAGAAACACTGGATCCAGCTTTAATCAGGCCAGGTGATCATTGTGTTACAAAATATTTCCACTTGTTTTTTGCATTTGACTACTGACTGTTGCAGTTTCTCAATAAGCTAAGTGCTTCCTTTATGTAGCTTACTCTTTATTGATGTTATTACTGGACATGACACTTTGATCCAAGCAAAAATGGGCAAGTTCCTCTCCCTCAGTGGCTCATAATCTAGATTTAGAACCTGGGGAGAGGGAGGTGTGAAAAATGAGGGATGTGAGCAGTTACAGTTCTGCATGCTAGATCCCAGGGTATGGTCTGAAGACAAATAATACAACAAACTTGTTGGAGCTGAGCGAATCAGGGTGTGGTCAGTACCTAGATGGGAGATGGCCTGGAAACCCTCAATGGGCCACCTTGAGTTCCATTGAAGAAAGGCAGGATGTAAATGTAAGAGAAATATGTAGTTTATGAAATTTAACCTCAGGGAATGCTTATCTCCATTAGTCAGGGGAACATAATAGCTGTGGAGTAGAAAGTGCCAAAATGGTTTATGCTGCAGTTGCTTATTTGCTTTTCAGATGGCATGCCATCATTTGCTGGATAAAACTGTTTTTTTTTTAAGAAGTAAACTGTTTAGTCGCAGTGTGAAGCCACCTCCCAAGGAAATCCTTCCATCTCAGTAAAAATCTAAGCTGCCTGGTTGTTGTTTTTCAATCCCCAGGACGTATTGATAGGAAGATTGAATTCCCTCTGCCCGACGAGAAAACAAAGAAGCGCATCTTTCAGATTCATACCAGCAGAATGACTTTGGCAGATGATGTCACACTGGATGAGCTGATTATGGCTAAAGACGATCTTTCTGGTGCAGATATTAAGGTAAGATGATAAACAACTAAAGTTTCTCCTCTTAACAGTGAAGCATCTCAGCCTCCTTTCCTCATATGTTTCATCCATTCTCACAAACACCATTATTTTTATCAAATTTTAGAGGAACTGTTACCTGAACATTCTTGATTTTTGAAGGAGTTCGTTTTTTTAAAAAAATAAATGAACTGGCATCTTCCAGTTTGCCTGATAACAAATGTCCCATGTCATGGAAGTATTTCCCATGTTGGTCAGCTATTTTGCCTCCTCCTGAGTTAGAAAGTCATTGATGTTTAGAAGTGGGCCTTGTCTTTGGTATGAGGGGCTAAAACTCAGGGAACGAGGGTAAAAAATGCTTGAATGTTTTGCCAAATTTTACTAGAAGCTTGTAGGAATCAGTGACACTTGCAGAATGCCTTTTGCAGGGGAGGAGGGAGCAGCTAAGGCCTTGCATTAATTGTAATCCATCTCAAGTGTTCAAGTTAAAATGACAGAAAATTAAAATCACAATACGATAGATAATCAAAAAGGGCCTGATAATCAAAAGGGCCACATTAATTAATTCCTAACATTAACCACCAGAAAAGGCTTGAGTGTGTTTCATGAGGAATGCTTTAACAAGAGCTGAAATACTGCCAGCATTGGCACGGGTTGGAGGAATTGATAGGAAGGGGGCTAACCCTGAATGCGGCAAAACTAAGAGGACCTCTGCAGTTGAGCATGTTTTGCTTCCTTGTCTTTCATTGGTGGGTGCACCATGACTGACTCACAAGATCTCTCCTCCATTTTCTTGCTTAAACCCAATGACACTTCATTGTAAAAACTTTGATTTTGGCATTTCACTCAAGTGCTGAAAAGATTCATTGGGCTCTGCTGGGCTCTGCTTCTGTGAGAGCAGAGTATGGAGAGGGAAAGAACCAAAAAAAGTATGTAAAGATTACTGTGTGTTACAGTCCAATTGCCTTTTTGTTTAGTTAAGATATGAACCAACCTTAACAGACTTATGCCCCGATCTTGTGCAGGTTTATTTAAAAGTAAGTCTCAGTCAGTGCTGTGCTGCTTACTCCTAAGTAAGTATGCATAGGATTGCTGCCCTAGCTGGACTATATTGCAAGTATTGCTTACTGAAAATTATTTTTTCACTGCATTGAATAAAAGTGAGATTCATAATTTTCTAACCAGAGGCTTCCATCTCTGGCAGGCTATTTGCACAGAAGCTGGCTTGATGGCTCTGCGGGAACGGAGAATGAAAGTAACAAACGAAGACTTCAAAAAATCAAAAGAGAATGTTCTTTATAAGAAACAAGAAGGCACCCCAGAGGGCCTCTATCTGTAACTTTTTACCTTTTGTTTGTTTGTCCTGGGGCAAGAGAAATTATTGGAACCTTCCTTTCAGAGTACAGGAAAAGCATGAGAAATTAATGCCTTGGGCGGAAAGAAAAAGCTTTTGCTGCTTGAAGCATTGTTTAAGTGAATTCCTCCACATTGTAGTTTTAAACACTTTATTTGCCATTAAAACCTTGGTTTCCAAAAGGATTGGAATGAATGGGTTAAGATTTTAAGCAATGATGGTTTCTGATGTGTATCTTGGCCTGTCTGCCTGCCTCTTGGTCTGCAAACCAATTGACTCCATAACTTTTCCACAGCTGGTGGTTACATTTAGTCCTGGGTGCAACTAGAAGTAAATAGCTTAAGTCACAATATGAATCTCCAGAATTTCAGGTGTTAAGTTTTTTGCTGTCACAGGACAGGCACTTATGGGGAAAGCCCCATGTCGAGCCATAAACCCAATCTAGGTGGGGATGCACAAAAAGGCGATTGAGGAAAGAAACAGCACTAAACCTACAAAAAGAGAGAGGCAGATAAAACTGTAAAAGGGAAAGGGTGGATAAAAGCTGAAGAAATGGGTACTTAAGTGTGGTAATTGCAACAGAAAAAAACACTCTAGCAAGAGAATCTGAAGGAAGCGCTGGGTAGAAATTGGATAATAATAAAAAAGGCTTGGAGGCTACCACTGTAGTGGAAAAAACGTGAGTGAGAACCATGTCCTTTGGGTGGTTGTGGGAAGCCTGCCAAAAATCCAGCTTAGCTGCACAGACATTTATGTGATTGTACAAAGACTGAGAAAGAATGCCGAAATAATGTTGAAAAAGATTCTGCTGGGATTGCTTTCAAAAGCCCACATTATTGGAAAATCCATCCAGATAAGCAGTTAGACAACGTTTGGTAACAGATGCTCAGTGGAAGTGAGATGCACTAGAAGAAGCACAATGACTTGGAGGGCTGAACAGAACGCCCTGCATCTTTCATCACTTCCTGCCTGGTTCCAAGAATGTGCCAGATTCACAAAATGGTAATATGGATTGAGAGTCAGATGTCACGGCCAGTGCTGTCTGTGGGTACAGGGCAGTCAAAGTCTGAATAACTTTGTCAATCACAGAGCCATAAACATAACTTCCATGGTCAAACCGCTGTTGGAATTCCAGGCTTTGGGGTCCTACAGAGATTCTCCAGGTTGGGTCATGCATTCATGGAGTGAGGGAAGTTAACCCACAGCTGTTGTTGGCATGCAGGTATGGGGAGAGTTCCTACAGGTAACAAGCCTACAGGCACTTCTTTCCTCCTGAGAAAGCAAAAAGCAGCAGGAAAACTGAAAGGGGTTTGAATTGCGTTTATGCGTATGTGTATTATTCAAAACAACTGGGGCCGTATTTTCACCTCTCTGCTGCACTACAAGGTGCACCATTAACTGCTAGCAGATTCCCTCTCCTTCTGAATTATGAAGCATGTGTTCTGAGCCTGAGGGGGTTTCTCATGGCTCCGGTGAACAATTTAAACCACGTCGAAAGCAAATTGCTCTCGTATTATCTCAAGCTGAACAAGACAGGCTGTGACAACGCTAAGCGCTAGAAATAGATGTTGCTAGAGGAGTATAATCACAAAGGAGCTGCCATGAGCAGGTGGCCGCCTGCAGATTGTATTTCACTGACAGGGCCATCTCCTCTCTTCGTCACTAGTTGTAGGTGAGCTGTGCTTACAAATACTCGGGACACTCCTGAGCAACAGATTTCTCCGTCCATCCATGTACTGTTTATTCAGTTTGACAACGGTGTGGATTAATTAAGCTTGTTTGCTCTGTTGCCAGAGCAACCACTGTTCTTTGTACATGTCATTCTGTGGCTATGATGAGAACACTTAGGGGGACATCCAGTGTTGTGTGAGTGGACTTATGAATGCAATAACTCCTTCCTCTCCTCTTCCTTGCAATTCCCCCCTCCCCCTGCCATTCTGCTCTAGAGCAGTGTTTCCCAACCTTGTGCCTCCAGCTGTTTTTGGACTACAATTCCCATCATCCCTTGCCACTGGTCTTGCTAGTCAGGGATGATGGGAGTTGTAGTTCAAAAACAGCTGGAGGCACAAGGTTGGGAAACACTGCTCTAGAGGATCCTCCAGTCCTCTGGATCAAAGTGGGGCAGAGGGAAGGGAAGTAGTTCTGCTGGTGGGACTGTTAGAATTCCTGCTCCATGATTGCAGTCATGGGATTGTTGTCCTTCACATGATGGTATATGTTTTCACTCCACAGAGTGGGAAGTGACAGAGACAGGATGTTTGTGTTACTGTGTTCCATGAACACAGAACTATTGTCCTTTGTTCATTCTCTTTGGTGTCTGATTGGCTCCCTCTCTTTCTAGCATCAGACAGCAAAGAGAATGAACAAAGGACATAGTCCCACTTCACAGAACACAGTAACACAAACATCCTGTCTCCGTCACTTCCCACTCTGTGGAGTCAAAACATAAACCATCATGTGAAAGACAACAATCCCATGACTGCAATCATGGAACAGGAATTCTAACAGGGACGCCACTGGGTTTCACCCATAAATATTCCCCGCATCTTAACTGCAGTTGCATGCTCCTGGTTATGTCAGCTGTGGTTAAGGTACTGATCTTGGCCATGATAGATGTGAACCAGATTTCACCATTCAGCAGTATTTGGAACCCATATCCAAATGCTGGTTAATAGCAAATGTGGGTTAAGGTTTCTGCCAGCAGAAGTTTTAACCAGGCAAGCTGGTAGACTTTCTAAGAGAAAGGCACTTTATCCTGTTCCACAGAAGAGCAGCCCATGTCTTTTTCTGTCTTAAGCTCCATATGCTCTTGTTTAGAAACTCACATAACAGGAAAGCTAATAGCCAGTAGGGGCAAGTCTCCTGAGTGGAAGCCCTAGTTTTGCATGTCTTCACAGTTAATACGTTGGGTACATTTTTTCACTGCAAGTTTAAGTCAGTTTCGAAAATGGGTTAAATGCTTTGGCTTTCCCCAAAGAATCTTGGCTTTTTAAAGTAATGCCAAGAGTCTTCACTTATCCAGGTCCTATGCAGCTCCAAAGAACTAGTGGCCAGATTTCCCTGGCTTGTAGCCAGGACAATTTTAACAGGTTTTAGGTTTTTGACATAGGCAGATGCCCCCAACCCATAAAGCCAAAAAGATTTGGATGCCCGATGTAACTGTGAGCTTGATCTTAGATTTGATGGTATGTCCCATTGATTATGGTGGGATTTATTTTCAAATAAATGTGGCAACCAGCACAGACTAGGAATTCAATTATACAAACACTTTTTTTGTCCCCACCTTGTTATCTGAAGAAGGGTTTCAGGAAAGTAAGTAAAACTTTTGCAACTACTCTAAGAGTCTGCTTTGCGCAACACTCCCTTTGGAGAAAGGCAGTGGTGAAACAAAATCCTCTGCCCACCACTGAATTACCTCTGCTGAAGAGAACATACCTCTGTCTGAGAATACTATTTTGGCTCCTCTGAGATCCGGTTAATGGCATGATTTGTGGCCAGAGCTCATAACACCCCTGCTGAATACTTGAGCAGCCTAGTTGTTGACAGCCTATATTAGATTTCAGGACAGTCCAAAGCTTTATTTAGTTAATTGCACCTTGCAGCAAGTGTCGCAAGGCATTGCTTATGGAATAAAGGATAATTAATTAAAAGCTTTCATAGCTGTGAGTTGTGCTCTCTGCTGCTTCCATTCGGATTCTAGCAGCATGAAAGCAACTGCCCTCTCTGCTTCCTATAGGAAACACTAGCTGTTTTGCCCAAAGGGGGTGTATTGTGATATTCAGAGGCATCCCTGTAATTGTTACCTAGGTTTCCAATCATATAAACAGAGGCTTCACGTCCCTCTCTTGTTAAAACACATCCAGTAATAGCGATAGAAGTCCCAGTGCAAACATAAAGTAAGCTGCTGTTCGCTCCTTGCTTTCAATCCCAGAGTGCTTACTGTGCTTTTGTTATTATTTACTCATTTATTGCCTGCCCTTTATAAGGTTCCAAGGTGGGTTGCAGCATTAAAACACAGTATTAAAAACAATTTATAATCATAAAAATATGGGGCCCTGAAATCGTACTTGTCAAGTGTCAAAAGCCAGGGTAAAGAGGTGTGTCTTCAGCAATCTCCGAAAGCTGTATCACAATGGTGCAAGATGCACCTCTGTGGGGAAGGGATTCCAGAGTTTAGGGGCCACTACTGAGGCTGCCTCCCTCTCCCCTCAAACCTCTGAGGATGGAGGAACTACCAGGAAGACCCCCCTTTGCACCTGAGAAGGTCTGTGCGGGAGGAGGCGGTCTTTCAGATATTTGGGGCCTGAGTTGTTTAGGGCTTTAAACACCAACGTGAGCACCTTGAATTGGGCCCGAAAACAAACTGGCAACCAGTGCAGCTGTTTTAAAACTGGATTTATAAACTGAATGCAGGCCAGTATCCGGGTCTGCTGCGTTTTGGACCCAAGTGAAGTTTCTGAGTTGTCTTCAAGGACCGCTCCACCTAGAGTGCATTGCAACAATCTAATCTTGAAGAAATCAAGGGTTCAGCAGCCAATTCATCTCTATCCAGGTATTTTTAGAAGCCAGACAGAGCAACAAGGAGGACTCTGATGCCTTCCAACCAACAGATGTCAAGACCTGCCTGTCTGCTGCCAACTAAGGCAAGATGGGGAGGGTGGAGAGGAAAGAATATGCCAGTTTCATGGCTGGTGTACTTCCTCGTTCCCTCACGATGGGAGAGTATCTGCTGAATCCAAAGCTGTCCCTGTCACCCTTTTGGCCTCTTCACCATAGAAGTGCTAATGGCCAGAGGAGCAGTAATGACAACTGGGAAGGGGCTACCCCAGGAGAAATCTCCCCTAATCAGAGGGGCAGATCCACAAACTCCTCTGGATCTAGGATGTCCTCGCGGCATCACAGGAGAGTGCCCTAGAGAGCACACACAGCTCACTTTTTTTACAACTGACACTGCTTGGATATGCAGCTCTTTTCCACAGCCTGGCTTAGCATTTACTTTTTCAAAATCTTATCTGCATCCTCGTTAGCAACTCTTAACATCCCACCTGATTTCAGTAGTGGATAGCCCAAACCTCCAAACTGAATAGGAAACAATTTCATAAAATGCATATCCTGGGAGGGTTCAAAATTACTGTCGAGTGTGGCATATGAGTTGGCAGCTGTGCAACCATGTTAAATTCCACAG